GTAAAACATACTTTTCAATTTATTTTGCAAATGCTGCATCCTTTCATACTTGTTGTAATTCGGTAACATTTCCACCACTTTCTGCTTATACCGGGGGTCTAGTAGCGTGGACGCCCAGTACAGGTCGTTCTCCTTCAGCCTTTTTATACGAGGGTCCCTCAACAGGCACGACAGCATGAAAGACCCCATTTGCACAAGGTTGGATGCCAAGCTACTCATGTCCTGTTCCTCGTCCTCAGTGATCTCACTGAAGGTATGTTCTTCCCCCCAGCCACGTACAACACCACGGGTACCAGATAGTGACAACAAGCACCCTGGGATGCCTGTTGTGGTTGGTCTTCCTCCTCCTCCTCAAAGCCACATTCCTCCTCTGACTCCTTTTCCTCACAATCCTCTTCCAGCGTTGCCGCAGTTCCAGCAAGCAATGCTGATAAGGCTGGTTCTGGTGGTGATGGTGACCACAACTCTTCCTCTTCCTCTTCACGCCCATCTACGGCCTGATCCAGCACTCTTCACAGGGCACGCTCCAGGAAGAAAACAAATGGTATGATGTCGCTGATGGTGCCTTCGGTGCGACTGACTAAATTTGTCACCTCCTCAAAGGGACGCATGAGCCTACAGGCATTGCGCATGAGCGTCCAGTAACGTGGCAAAAAAATTCCCAGCTCCCCAGAGGCTGTCCTAGCACCCCGGTCATACAAATATTCATTAACGGCTTTTTTCTTGTTGGAGCAGGCGGTCGAACATTAGGAGTGTTGAATTCCAACGTGTCGGGCTGTCGCAAATCAAGCGCCTCACTGGTATGTTGTTTCGCCGCTGGATATCGGCAAAGTGAGCCATGGCCGTGTAGGAACGCTTCTTCGAAATACACCTTCCTTGGCCTAAGGTTTCCAGACGTCCTGTAAGCCTGTGTACTTAAGTATGCACAAAGCGCTGTATCCATGAGAGATTACACATGTGCCGTGTCAACTTGCCCAACTTCAATGCCGTTAACAAATTTGTTCCGTTGTCACAAAACACTTTGCCGATATCCAGTCGCTGCGGAGTCAGCCACTTTTCCACCTGTGCGTTCAGGGCGGACAGGAGTGCTTGTCCGGTGTGACTCTCTGCTTTCAAGCAAGTCAAACCCAAGACGGGGTGACACTGCCGTATCCGGGATGTGGAATAGTACCTGGGGAGCTGGGGGGGTGCCGTTGATGTGGAGCAAGACGCAGCAGCAGAAGAGGACTCAGCCGAGGAGGTTATGGAAGAGGATGAAGTAGGAGGAGTAGAGGAGGTGGCAGCAGGACTGCCTGCAAGTCGTGGCGGTGTCACCAAGACCTCTGCAGAGCCATGCATTCCATGCTTGGCAGCAGTCAGCAGGTTTACCCAATGCGCAGTGTAGGTGATATACCTGCCCTGACCATGCTTTGCAGACCAGGTATCAGTGGTCAGATGGACCCTTGCCTCAACACTGTGTGCCAGACATGCCATTACTTCCTTTTGCACAATCGAGTACAGGTTGGGGATTGCCTTTTGTGCAAAGAAATTTCGGCCGGGTACCTTCCACTGCGGTGTCCCAATAGCTAAAAACTTTTTGAACGCCTCAGACTCCACCAGCTTGTATGGTAAAAGCTGGCGGGCTAATAGTTCGGACAAGCCAGCGGTCAGACGCTGGGCAAGGGGGTGACTTTCTGACATTGTCTTCTTACGCCCAAACATGTCCTTGACAGACACATGACTGTGGGAAGATGAGCGTGAACTGCTCAAGGCGGGAGGCGGAGTGGCGGATGGTTGAGAGGGGACAAGGAGGACAGCAGTGGTTGACGTGGCTGAAGATGCTGGACCAGGAGGAGGCTGGCGGCTTAGAGTAGGCGAGCTGCTTGTACTCATGTGTTGATCCCATAGGCGTTTGTGATGTGAGATCATGTGCTACGCAAAGCAGTTGTACCTAGGTGGGTGTTGGACTTCCCACGACTCAGTTTCTTTTGGCACAGGTTGCAAATGGCATCGCTGTTGTCAGAGGCAGACACACAAAAAAAATTCCACACTGCTGAGCTCTGCAATGACGGCATTCTGGTGGTGGACACAGCATGCGTTGATTGGCGTGCTGTCGGGCTGACCCCGGGTGTCGATGCATGCTGTCTGACTGTGCCACTAGCTCCTTGCGACGACCTCCCCCTGCTTCCAACTCGTCTCCTCCTCCTCCCTGTCTCCCCATCTGAACTTTCGCCCTGTTCTTCTTCTTGACGAGCGGGCACCCACGTGACATCCATGGACGCATCGTCATCATCAACCGCTTCACTTGTATCTGACAACTCAGCAAAGGAAGCAGCAGCGGGTACAACATCATCATCATCATCACACCGTACGTCCATGTGTGTAATGCTGCCTGCCTGAGACATATCCCTGTTATCTACATCCTCTGGCAATAATGGTTGCGCATCACTCATTTCTTCAAACGGATGTGTGAATAACTCCTCTGACATACCAACTGAAGCGGCTGTGGTGCTAGTTTTGGTGGTGGCGGCAGGCGGGTGAGTGGTATCTTGAGAGGTGCCTGAAGCTAAGCTGGAGGAGGATGGTGCGTCAAGGTTCTGAGCGGAGGCTGTAGAAGATTGGGTGTCCTGTGTTAGCGAGTCAACTATACCCTCAGAACTTTTCAAGTTCAGGGTACGTGGCCTCTGAAAACTGGGCATTATTCTAGGGCCAAAGG